GATTTATATTTATTATATTATATAGTAAGAAAACAACCATCTTTAATTTTGATATTTTTGGTATTTTTAGTCTTTTTTAAATTCAATCGAACTTGCCTAATTCACAACATATTGTAAATTTAATTATCACCGTGATTTTATATATATTATATAGTAAGAAAACAACCATCATTAATTTTGATATTGTCGTTATTTTTAGTGTTTTAAATTTCAATCGGACTTGCCAAATTTATTACATATTGTAAATTTAATTATAACCGTGATTTATATTTATTATATTCTATATTAAGAAAATAACCATCATTAGTTTTGATATTATTGGAATTTTTAGGGTTTTTAAATTCAACCGGACTTGCCAAATCTACTACATATTGTAAATTTAAGTAAAACCGCGATTTATATTTATTATATTATATAGTAAGAAAATAACTAGCATTAATTTTGATATTGTTTGTATCTTAGTGTTTTAAAATTCATTTGAACTTGTCTAATTTACAACATATTGTAAATACAAAGAAATTAAAATAGATTAAATATTAGCGCGGTTGTATATTTATTAAATCATATATTTTAAAATAATCATCAACATTGTTGGTGTTTTTAAGTAATTTTAAATTTATCCGGTTTGCCAGTTGGCAAGTATAGTAAATATTTTTAATACAAAATAACTAGACTGGATATCACCGTGATATTATATCAAATAAGTCAAATAATAATAAAAAGCTATTAAATTTAAAATTCGATCTGGTTTGTCTTGTTTGAAACTTCAGTCTAGTAAATGTTACTAAGAATGAAGTAAACTATATTGAATCTCACCGCTATTTATATTTATTAAATAAAATAACTAAAAATGATCATTAATTAATGTTGTCATTCGTGTTTTTACATTTGATCCGACTTGTCTACTTCAGTCACAAGCCTAGAAAAATAAACAAGATCAAAATTTAAAAATGCTCATAATATTAATTAATGATGATTATTCTTTAAATATAAATCGCGGTAATACTTAATTTAGTTTTGTTTCGTTATATTTATAACATTTATGTTGAAAATTAGACAAGTCCAATCTGATTTAAAAGCACTAAAAATACTTATTTTATTAAAATTATTATAATAATATGATACACTATTTTAAAAGTTGTTGCTTAGTAATTTTAATTCTGGTTGATTGTCGGTTCGACCGGTTTCATCTCTACCTTGTATACCAAACCATTTTGGTTAATTTTTCGTTTTAATTAGAACACTTGTATATTTAGAGGTAAAAGCAAATATGGAAATAACATAAATATATCCCAAAAAATGTTGACCGAGGAATATGGCAAGTAAATTTTAAAGGGAAGCATTATCCATAAGATCATAACAGGTAAGAAAAACATGAATTTCATGTTTAGCCATTAACTCTTTTTTTTTGGTCCAAAGTTTAATCATTAACTCATTATAATCGTTTTAACAGAAAAAAAAATTCCAATTCTTATAGAATTTGATATTAGTCTAGGTTTTTTTTTTCTTTGGGATCAAACATTATTCTAGTTTTGATTCAATATTTATTCTGCTAATAAAAAAAAATTCCCTTCAAAATTCAAAAACATGATTTAACTGATTACATGACGAAACATAAATTATTACATAATTTATATTA